GGGGGGGGGGGGGGGGGGGGGGAGATTCAAAGAATACATTTTGGACAGGAAAGAAGGAGCAAATCACACAGGTATGCCCACCGACTCCCCCCGAATGTCATAGTATGAGTGCTGTGTGTTATTACCTGAGAGAACCTACGATGAACAGAAGAAGGAGGGATAGGGAAGAAAGATATTTTATAGAAGAGAAACCTGTTCCACTGCACAGCCCTAAATAACATTAGAGCTACCTTTCTCCCTCAGAGACCTAACATAGACAACACACTCTATGGAACATTCCAGCAACTGCAGCAAACCTGCACTTATCAATACATGGCATTGGACAGAAGGGCGAGAGTCCAGATATCGCTGGATCTATAACAACAACAACAACAACAACAACCACAACAACAACATAGAAAAGAAGAAAGAAACCAAACCAGAGCACCCACCATCCACCCACAAACGTTTTAACATACGTGCTGATGATTAGATTATATGCTACAAGAGTAAAAGAGGAGGAAAGATACGGAAAATCGATAGCAGAATCAGATAGAAAAGAAGGAGCAAACCAAATCAGAGCACCCATTAACCACCCAATAACATTATAATTATAGGACAAAGTGTTGCGTGATATAGTAGAACACAGTAGAGACTGTCAGTTTACTGGTAGACAATGTCACTGGCTGTGTTACTGACTAAAGTGTCTTTAGGCCATTCCCAAAGGGGGGATAGTAACATGTTCTTACGCACAGTAGAATTGTAAATGGGCTGATTTATCAATGGCATGCTCATACTGTGCCGGAACAACATAGGGGGAACTGCTGCTTTTTCTCTCCTCATCCTTACTATTATCATTTTCCTCTACTTCTTTTGTATGTCTCTTGTGACCTGTTATTTCCGGGGTGCCTTGATAGTCGAAGGAGACTTTATGCCTTTGAGGCTAGAGAGGTGAGTAGAGTAAGCCTGATTCCCTGTATGGACTTTTCTGTTGACATCCACCCCTTGGCGCTCATATGACCTTATGCAGTTGCAAATGTCGTAAACTCTCTTCTTCTTCTTCTTCTATCCCGTGGTTGGGGCAGCCGTTGGGGCACCACTGCATTGGAAAACCAGCTCTCGCCATCTATTTTTGTCCTCTGCTCTCCTCAGATTGTCACCCATCGTCTTTCCTGTCCACTCTTTAATGTTGTCCTCCCATCTCCTTCTCTGCCTTCCTCTCTTTCTCTTTCCTTGAACGGTTCCTTGCAGGATTGTTTTGGCAAGTCCTGTGGATCTTGTGACATGCCCATACCATTTTAGTTTTCGTCTTTTCACTGTGGTCAGTAGATCTTCATATTGTCCCACTGCATTGGTGATTCTCTGTCGTACTTCGACATTTGAAAATCTCATTAAAACTAACAAGACTATGCCAAGGCGTAGTGCAGAAAGTGCAAGTTCAGTTCGGAGCCCTGTCACAACCCAGGTTCATGGCAGACTGACGTATGATAATAAAAGTTATCAAAACCTCATGGGGGGCTCTCGTGGCCTAGAGGTTAAGGTGTTCGCCTCTCATTCAAAGGTCCCGGGTTCGAATCCGGGTAGCGACCAAAAAATTTTCTTCTCTAAATTTGTCTCCTTCCGCCTCCTTTCCTACTCTCTAGCAATGTTCTGTCGTCTGCTTTCGTCTCCTCTTTCTGCCCATCACCCCTTCACCTCCTTTGCCCCCTCCTCTGGGCTCCTGATTCTTTCTGCAGCCTTTCTACTGCTACTCACTGGCTTCTTCTTACTGCTGTCTTTCAGCCACACCCCTGATCTTCTGGTAGGAAAGATCTACACCTAGCCTTCTCGGACAAGGGCGAAAAATCTCGGAGGTCCCGTGTGCAAGTTGTGCACGTTAAAGATCCCTTGGTGGTCTAAAATCGATAAGAGTAGGCTTCGGCCGCCACCCGGGCAAAATTCAAAATTTCCTACCAACTGAAAAAGTTTAGTGTGTCCCGCGCGCTCATATGACCTTATGCAGTTGCGAGTGCCGTAAAACACTTACAAAAACAAACAAACAAACAAACAACAAAACCTCATCAAACACCATCATGATTATCATAACAATAATTTAATAATATTAAATAGCATTACATTAATTTGTATAGCGCATATCCCCCGATCAACAGTTAGCTCTAAGCGCATTACACACTATAATGTAACGAGGTGATTCATCCTGATTGGCTGCTATGTCTGTCTCTTGAGTCAACAGCTCACCGTAGGGCTATACGTCAAGGCGGGCAGAAATGATGGGGTGTTAATGAGCTCTGTACCTCAGAATGGCGCGGGGGATTAATGGTCAGTGACAGTTGTAAACACAGAGGATGGGGGCAGACAAATACTGGGCGGACTGCAACGATAGAGAGAGGGGGAGAGGGGGAGGGAGAGAGAGAGAGAGTGGGGGAGGGAGAGAGAGAGGGAGAGAGAGAGGGAGAGAGGGGGAGAGAGAGTGGGGGAGGGAAAGGGAGAGAGAGATGGAGAGATGGAAAGAGAGAGAGAGAGAGAGAGAGAGAGAGAGAGAGAGAAATAAGAGGGAGTGCAAGCGTTATATTTGTGTGTATGTAGTGCAAGTGTGTGAACGAGAGATAGAGAGTGAGTGAGAGAAATACAGGGTCATAAAAAGAATGTAAGTTGGTAAAAATGTGTATGTGAGGCATCGTGGGGAAAAAATGAAATCAAAGAAACTGGTATTTTTCTGATCGTTGTGCAATAACGTTTATGTCCATTTAAAAACACATTTCTGAGTGGATTATTCTGCAAAACAATTATTAAAAGCACAAAAATATCATTTTTCAGTTTCCAAGGACAAAAAAGCTATGTAAGTCACTAAACTTTGCTGGCCATTTTCTCCCTGATTTTACCATTGAAACCAGGTGACCCCTACCTCCTTATATCGCAACTATGTCGACTCGTATTCAAGATGAATGGATATATTTGTCCTCGAAATCAAGACCAATAAACAACCTTTAGGATGATACAAATACCTCCATATGCCCCAAAACGTAGGAGCCCCTTATTCCACCTCGATGTGACACATATCGTAAAGATGCATCCACAACTGGGAAAAGTGGAAAGTTCGTATCGACATAAGTAGCCTAAGACTCGAAAGAGCTGAGGAATGTAGGACTAACATGATCTAAACAATTAACTACTAACCAGTTGTGACAGCCATCTCCAGTTGGGCTATGGCAACACTTAGATGAGTAACTTACTAAAAAAACGTTATAAGAGTGAAGGAACATAGATCTATTTACTAATTTATTCATTTATTTATTTGTATAAAAACCATGTTTCTGTGTGTTTACTCTAAGACAAACAGCTAATTTCAAAACCCAAAATACTGTACATTTTTTTGGGGTGTTACTAAACACAAAAGCGCCAGATGATAGAATTGGACAAGGTCACAAAAAGTAGCCTAAGACTGATTTCCTGTTATCCCAACTTGCTGTTTTAGATTAATTGACCTTTAGATTTCTTTTGGGGGTTTTTTTAACTTTGCGGTGACGCTTAGCGCTTCCTTTCTCAAGACCTCCCCCCCTCCCCCCCTTTTTTTTTTCTTGTTTGTAATTCTTCGGGCTTTATTTCAGCCTTTATTCAGAAAAAGTTCAAAGTATACAAAATAGAAACACAGTTTCCATTCACCTCAGGGCTCACAAATCGTCCCTCTCTTTCACTCACTCAGTCAATTCCCGTGTTCTCTCCCACGACTCATCGCCGTCAGCATGACTTTCACACTTCACACCCCGCCCCCTACCTCCAGCACACACAAAGATATTATCACTCATTCCCTTGCACCCTGCAAACCATGGGCAATAATATAGGCCAAACACTGCCTAAAATCAAGGCTTTCTCGTTGACCCACATTTCTGCTTTCGTAGGAACAGGATTTCTAACCGCAAAATTCTCTCGTTTTCAACCTAGAGTGCTTGCTTTCACTGAACCAGTGCCATGATTTCAGTCAGAAATGACGGATATGAATTTCGGGTATATGGATGGAGGTCTCTTTTTTTTATCGCACCCGAATTTCGTATATTCGCACCCAAAGTTCGCGTCGGTTTTTCGGGCATATGGAAAGCCAGCTTTAATACGGGGCGCCCACTACGGCTGGGATCGGCCGATCGAGCCGATCGCCCGACTCGATCGCCTCAAAAACAAACGTGTTTGTTTTCAGTTTCATGGGATCGGCCGATCGAGCCGTTGTTTTTGAGGCGATCGAGTCGGGCGATCGGCCCGATCCCCGCATTTCTTTTGTTCGTGAGCTGTGGACCAGGCCAGAGGGGTCGATATTGTCTGGTTTAGTTGCTGTCGCTTGATACACTCGTACATTCTTCCTTTCACCCGCTCTATCACTCACACTGTCTCTCCATCCACAGCTCAGCTCGTCATACGTTCAAAAGTTGCCCACTGGTCATGTTTTGTTAGTGTGTGTATAAGTTTGTGTGTGTACATGTGCATGATGGTGGTGGGTGTGTGGTGGGTGGTACTGAAGGTTGTTTGTAGACGGGCTTGCCATGCGGTGTCTCTGTATAGCGCTAGGATGTGTAGTTTGTATGTGTGTGTCGTTATCTTCAGACTGTCGGTATCATGTTGAGGAAAATTGCTTTGTATTTGTCTACTGGTGTATTGTGCGGTGCAGCTAACATTTTTGTAAGTGCTTGTTTGATGGGTCGTATGTACGCACAAGAGGAGAAGACATGCTCCTCCGTTTCTTGAATTTTTGGTTTACACTTCCATATTTTGTAGGGGATAATTTTGTCTGTTTACTCCATAGATGTACACATTAGGTTTAAAAGGAGATAACTCTATGGTTTACTCTATCCTTCCGATGTCGACGTGACAGAGAACAGAATACGGCAGGTGGTTGGTTTTTGATGGGGGGTGGTGCATTTGATAAAAAGGTTCTTAAATTAAAGGATTAGAAAAAATCGATAAGAGCATTATCTCCTTCACGAGGTATTTGTTCGTGTAGCGATGTAGCTTGTTGTTGGAGGACGAGAGCCTTGTATGTAGTTTTTGTGTTGTGGGTGGTTTTGTGGTTTTGTTTCGCTCGCCGTGTCGTCTCAGCGTGGCTAGATATCTAGATCTAGGTCTAGTGCGTTCTTGTGGAATGTTAGTAAGGAGCCGAAGTGGTGTGGCGTTTTGTTGTCTATCGGTGTGTGTTTACTGGGGCGCATGCCGAGGTAGTTGTGAGCTATTTGTGGTTGTTTTTTGTCCGCTATGACCTTTTTCATGCACTGAGTCTGTAAGCTTTGATTGTTGTCCATATGTTGTGTAGGCTCACCCCTCCTTTGTGTTTGTCTTGTATTAGTGTTGTGTGTCTGATGCGTCGATGTGTGCTTTTGAAAATACAGTGGGTGCCACATTCAACGAGGTCATATTCAACAAGAAGTGAGAAGTCGGCTCCAACGAGGCAATCCTTAATCCCCGATTTTTCCTCTATATCTCTTTGTAAATGTACGTCAGCTCCAACGAGGTTGCAAACAAACCGAAGTCGCTTTCAACGAGGTCTTGATAACCAATTAAAAGCAATTAGTGGCCCCAAAAGCGAATGTTTTTCTCTTTTCTCTCCATCTCAGGCGAAGCACAAGGCCCATCCTCGATTCCTAAAACATTGTAACACATTGTATCGCTAGATCTAGCCTGCCTCCTAATATGGGCAAAAAGCCAAGAGGATGGGCGAGGGTTAGCCTAGATCTACAGTAGGGATGGGGGGGGGGGAGATGGGTGGGAACGCGATGCAGGCTGTGTGAAACTGGATGAACTCTGGATGGGTAGGTCTAGATTACTCTAGATCGAGACTTTCATTTTTTTTCCCATTTTCTTTTCTTCCCCTTGTCAGAAAATCCAAGCTCCCGCCTTTACTTTATGTAGATCTAGGCCTAGATGTGAGAGGGTATGTTTCCACACGAGAAGTGTTCCGGAAATTTTTCTTTAATAATTCAGAAATGACAGTCAGAACACAGCTCAAACACGCGCACACTGAAGCTGTTTCAGATTTTCTTCATCAGGGGGAACAACTGTTTTAATTACTGGTATTGGTACATCGTGTAATATAATAACTGGTCTCCTTCCTTAGCCTCAGTCACGTTCAACGAGAGGTCGGATCCAACGAGGACAACAAGCCGGTCCCGGCAACCTTGTTGAATGTGACACCCACTGTACCTTAACGAGTCCTCCTTGTTGAATGTGACACCCACTGTACCTTAACGAGTCCTCCTTGTTGAATGTGACACCCACTGTACCTTAACGAGTCCTCCTTGTT